GGGACTGGCCAGTGAGGAAGTGGAGTTACTGTGAGAGGTCGGCCATTTCCACATTGGCACCGAGCTAGCCCTTTGATAATATGAGTATACGACAAGCTGGTGCCATTATGGTGGCGTATAGACTTGGCACAGATAGGTGTAAAATACAGCAACTCAGACTGAACTTCCTCCCAGAGCAGAAACCCCAGGGGAAGGAAAACTCACTCTTCTCTCCCAGACGGCTGCTCTGTTCTTTTTGTTGGTGGTTCTTTCGCACAGCCAACCCCCAGGTGAGATGAGGAGACTTAACGTGTTATTTGAAGTAATACTCCTTATCACTACATATTTGTACAAACTTCTGGTGGTTAACAGTATTCCAGGGACAGGCCAATCAGGGCTCCTGCCTCACTACATTTCCAGGTTACATAGTGGTACCTTGTCATCATGCTGGCGGAGGGGAAAGAGTAACTACAGGCTAGTGGTGGAATGTGTTGTAGCATCTGTAGTTGCTTTGACAAACTCTGAAGTTACATAGACAGAGTTCTAATCCAGGTTGTGCCTCTTACGAGGTATAAGTTACCTGCCTAGCTATTAACCTTTTAAAATTTCAGTGTATCATCTGTAAAATGGGGTTGAGAACACCTAGCTCACAGAACTGCTGTGCGGATGACGTGATGGGCCTTTGAAATGTGCGTTTGCACTTTTCCAAACAATAGCCAATAGCCAATAAATCTTGACTGGGATAAGAAACAATCGTTTTTGCAGGACAAGAAAGTGTGCAGTAGGTTGGCTTCCGTGCTAAAGAGAAGTTCTTCAGAGAGAGTGTCACAATCTTTTCAAATCCAGTCATCCGAGAACAGGAAGAAAATTCTATTTACCTAAGAACCAAAGTGCTCACGGCAACAGTGGCGGCTTTTAAAAATTTTTTTCCCTTAAAAAATTAGGATGTGAAGGAGATAAACATTTAGCTTGCTACCAGAGACTCTTGCTTCCTCGTTTTACTTATTTCTTAACTACCCCCTACATGAGCTGTAAGTTGAAGTGTGTTTGGGAGCAGCTGCTGCAGCAGCAGATCACAAAAAAGAAGTCAAAACAGACTTACTGGTTAAAGACACTGTCCTTTGAGACAGTACAGGAGCTTTCAGCCATGACCTCCCCTTCTGGTTTTACCAGCTTTTCCTTTCAAGTCTCCTTCAAAAGGAACTACCCTCTCACTAAATAGCCATCTGCAAACCAAGCTCACAAACATTTTTAAATGAAATTTTGAAGGGTTTTTAGACAGAATTAAGACAGGCACAGACTTTGGAAGGCTGGATCATAATCTCTTCCACTAGAGGGCGACATTTGCTAAAATAAATAAAGGGGATTAATGGCCACAGGAATTAACACCGGACATTGTGAGTGAGCTGGATTCCAGGATCTTGGCTGCCCTTATCACCTGCGGAAACTGGAAAACCAACAGTCTCCACCCCACAGGGCTCCACCCCTGGAGATTCTGAATCAGTAGAGGGAAGAGGGCATGAAAAGGTTGGAAATCTGTTTTTTAAAAACTCTCCAAGTTTGGGAACCACTGATTTAGAGAGAAGTGAAAATAAGATTTTAACTCACTTTCTCCCCCCACGCCCCTCCTCCCCCCACCCCTGACATATTCAGGTCCTGCCTACTCCAGTTTTTGTTGGGGGCAAAAAAAAAATATATATATATATATATATGTATGTATGTATGTGTGTGTATACACATATATATTTCAACCTTAGTGGAAAAAGAGGGCTTATCTTTACACCAAGACTATGACCTTTGCCTTGTTTAGAAGATGCTATTTAATACAACTTCCAGAAAGGTCATTTAATCCCCATTTTCAGGTGTTTTATATGGGCAGGTCCACTTAAAAGGCACGCTACAAAGTATTTCCATTTCTCTCTGTTTTTATCAGTGATGCCCGCTTTTGCTTCATCATAAGCAAAAAGCTGTGTAAAACAGTACTTGACTATGGAGCAAGACTCTGGTCAATGCTGCCATAAATAAAACCAGAGCTTATCAGTAAGTCAAGTGGAGAAGTGCACAAGACATGTGAACTGATTAAGCATAAGAACCACCTAACTGGTGCATAAGAAATTCTGAAAACATGTAACAGTGTGGTTAAGGCTTGGAGATTTGGTCTGAGTACAAGATAAATATCCCTACCTGGCCCAGGGTCCTTGGAACAGAGTTTTTTTTCCTTATTGGATCTTTAAAGTTGATTTATGAGTCAGATTGAGGTAAGCATTCCCCTTTGTGTTTCTTCTGCTGTGCTTACACGATCACAGTGACATTTTGAATTGTAGAAGGGCTGCTAGAGTTCCAGCAAAGAAAGTTCCCCTCCTAGACTTACTCTACTGGAGAAAAATCACTAAAGAAGGGATGTGAAAGCAGCGTTTTCCAGTCAAGCTTCTCTTTTAACTCAGCCCTTACAGATCTTGTTGTCAGCTTGCAAATTGGAGCTCTCCCACTACCTGTGGGCTCTTCCCTGGACACTTGGGCCACACTGCTCAGGAGTGAAGGAGCTTCTGTTTCTGCACATCCCTCATCAATTCCAAACCTCTCCATTTGCATTCAGACATGTACATAACACTATTCAAAATGTATCTACCACTTTCACAGTTGCCAACACTTGTCCTTCTCTTAAACTGGTGTATTGGATTCTCCAGCAATGGCGGGGGTTAGTCTCTTGACTGTGATTCAGGCATATTAGGTTGGGAATGGGGAACTCTGTTGATGGGATTTTGGTTTACTATGAGCATTTCTGCCTGCTGTAGTGGGTTAGGATTGACTCACATGCACTCAGACCAGACATTTGGTCAATTCCCTACTACTTCTTTGTTTTCTCTATCATTGCTTACTCCTTTCCCCCAAAACTGAAAAAAAATCTTAAGCTGTCATGTGACCAAGTCAGGAAAATTAAGAGAAATTGCTATCCTTGTTTTTCCTCCTAGCATATAGAAATGTTGTGTTCTGAACCTTAGTTTACTCTCTTGTTACAATGTCCTCTCTCCCAGCTTCCATCTCAGTGTAAAGCAGCAAGGGACCGAATGACCAAAGAGCTGCCTGGCTCCTTAAATTAGCTTAATAGCCCATAACCTTCAAATAGACCTTGTATGAGTCCTCAACAAAACCATTCCCTAAAATGAGTTGTGACACATGTCAAGCTTCACAAGGTCACATCTACAAATGCCACATAAACACACATGACACCAGCAACTGAAATGATTTCTTTCCTGGCTTGTAATTTTTGGCGAATGACTTGGCCATGGTTATTCCAAAAGGAACTGATGGCTGTTGGATATGATTGGAGGGGAATTTCTGAGGGCAAAGAAAGGGAAGAAAGGGACCTTCGGACTAGCTGAGGCGCAGCTGGAGGACCCCTGGGTTGTGAACTCAGAGACAGCCGGGAGCAGAGCAGAAGCGCCGGGTTTTCTGGAATCCCCTGCCAGCTGTTGACCCTCGCTGGGGGTGGGGTGGGGGGGTTGCCGACGATTCCACCGCGGCAGGACGACGAAGTGGGGGACTCTGGATACTAGGCACCGCCAGTTTCCAAGTCTTGCCCCTGATCAAGTCTGACGCAGCGGGTACCTCGGCGGGGTCAGTGGGACTGCTTGGGGCAGAAAATGCGCCGGCGTGGCGGGGTTGCTGGCTTTCCCCAGCCCTCAGACAAGCTCCTCGCCTCGATCACTGAGCGCCCTCCGGCGCGGAGCGCAGAGGCCTGGTCCACCTCTGCCGCAGCCGCGGCTGCAGGACGCAGGGCCAGTCGGAGGCCAGCACCGCCCTTAGCACCGCCCACAACCCCGCCCCTCCCACGACCAAGCCCCGCCCCCAACGCCTTGGGCCGTCTCCCACGC